TGCTGAATGCTGTAGTTTAAATTTCTATTTAATTGAACAAGGGATAAAGAGTGATTCATAATGGCAGGAATTTGATTACTATCTTTTCCCTTGAAACAGCAATAAAGTATTAAAAATACTAGGTTTGCCAGAGAGCTTGGTCACCAATTGCATGTGCTCTTCAGTGAATTATTTACAATGTTTGTTATCATCTCTTTTCAATATCCCAACACTTTCCTAGATCAGCCTCTGACAGTAAAATAATTTTGGCAGAGGCTGACATTTGTAGAAGGCAGTTACAAACAGCAATGTATTACATTTATATAGGCTTCATCCTATCTTCTTTAGAATACAAAATGTGTTCACAAAGGTCTCCTAGCCAGAATTACCAGTTAAATATGGCTGGGTTTATGGTTTTGTGAAGGTACGTATTTGTTGCTAGTTGTTTTGAGAGTGAATTAAAAGGTTTGTTTTATGTAACAGACTTAATTTTTCCAGTATTTTTTAAGTTTTAACTGCTTTCCTCTGTAATAATACTGCTGGGGTGAAGGCTGTATTTGGGTTTTTTCTGTTCCATGGTTCAGCCGTTCAGACACAAGCATTTATTTCTGAGGGAACTTGACCAGACACTTCTAGCAAGTGGGAATCTCTTCAGACTCTTTTACTGTTTTGTACATTTATTAAAAACTGAAACGACTATTTATGCCCTAAAATCTTTGATATTCTTCTAAAGCCTTACTGGCTTTTTGTTAGTTCTTTCTCTTTATTTTAATTTTCAAAAAGACATTACTAACACAAATTCCCTGTACGGTTATAAAAGGGAAGGATAAGGCATTGCAGGTGGTGCCCTCCCCTTGGGCTCTCACTTCTGATTATTGAATTTTTTTCGTCATTTTCTCATTCTTTTAAAAACATTTCTATCAGCACTGTGTTGCTGAGTCCCTGAAGAGATGAAGCAGAGGCTGCATGGTGGGGTGCAGCAAGCGGATTTCTCTCTCTCAGTTCTGCAGAGACCAGTGTCAAAGGTTTTCAGGAGGTTTTCCCTGTGCCCTGTCATGTTGGGCCCTGTAAGAAAGGACTGTGGTGCCAACTGTAAGCCAGCTTTAGGTAGAGGGGAAAGGTCGGTTTTCCCCGAGGGACTTGTCGTAATGTTTTCATGTAATCTTCCATTTTAGTTTTCAAAATCTTCTACGATGTGTCTTCTATTGTCTTGTCTTTTCGCCAGATTGGTCCATGGTTCTTCCATAACATCCCCATGAATAGCTGGTTTGGGCATCTTCCCCCAGTGTGGCCAAGGCTTTAATCATCCATCCTTAGTCAGACAAAACTCCAACTGGAAAGTATCAGTCCTCTCTTTGCAACCTGTTCATTGACGTGAATCTGCCTGCAGAAGACCAGCTGTGAACTTCTAGCTATGTTGACCTTTAAGCTGGCAGGGCTGTGTTTCCGAAGCGGGGTAATGACAGCTCACAGTTGTCTGGGGCAGATTTCCAGGTAGCAGCTTGCTGATGAGGACTTGCCAGCATGTCTGAGGCAGTGTGGGGTGAGAGCTGGCCTGCCTCAGTAGTGATGGCTCTCACACACACTGTGCTTGGACAGGTGTGCAGAAGGATCAGCTGCAAGCTGACTGCCCAGTCTCCTGTGATGAAAGCTGACTTTGGACTTCATCTCCAGAGTGTATGTAGGCTGTGGAGCCACCCTGTTCAGTAAGGCCTTTCTCCAGAAATAGAGAGGTCTATAGTGCTGTGTAAAGATGGGGAAAGAAGTATCTCATTCTTGTGCAAAGCTTTAAATCGGTTACATCTTAAAATAGTCTTCCTGC